AGCCAAAAATTTTTTCCCAGTCTGTAGATTGTCTTTCTACTCTTTTGGTGAAGTCTTTTGATGAGCATAAGTGTTTGATTTTTAGGAGCTCCCAGTTATCTAGTCTCTCTTCTGGTGCTTGTGCATTATTATTTATGGTTGGTATTCTGTTTATGCCATGTATTAGGGCTCCTAGTGTTGTCCCTATTTTTTTTTCCATGATCTTTATCGTTTTTGATCTTATATTTAGGTCTTTGATCCATTTTGAGTTAGTTTTTGTGCATGGTGTGAGGTATGGGTCTTGTTTCAGTTTTTTGCTGATAGATATCCAGTTATGCCAGCACCAGAGGGTCGGTGTTTTAATGATAAATTTAATGATGAACTTGTTCCATTATCACTGGCACTATTTATAAACTACCTACTATGCTCCAGGCACTTTACATATGCATATGTCTTATTTTTACAACAGCCCTGTAAGGTTGTTTTATGACTTCCATTTGATGGACCAGGCCTGAACCTCAGAGACGTGAACTCACCTGACACCACACAGGTCTGCTGGATGGAGCCCAGAGTCCAAATGTGCCTCTCTGGCTCCAAAATCTCATTCACCAAGTTGCCATCTCAAAAAACTCCACCCCAGAGTCTCCTCCTCATTGGTGAGGATAAGTTCCCACTTGTGATTTAGTCCTCTGGGTAGTAAAGCCTCCAGCACCTAGGCCTGATCTTTTCTCCCCTACAAAAGCCTCCTTGAAAATTCCAAGGAAGAAAGTGAGGAGACAGCAGAGTGACTCTGAGTGGGCACTGGAGTCAGGCTGCCTGGGTTCAATTCCAGGCACATCCATGTCGTCATCTGTAAAATTGGGGATGATAATGTTACCAAGCTCATGGGTTGCTCTGGGAACTGAATGAAATTCTGTGTATCAAGTGCCTGGGCATACATAATGAATACTCACTCAAGATGCTCTATTGTTAGGGCAGATACTACTTCCCTACTACTACTTCCTCTACTACTTCCCTACTAACCCATTCATGTACCTACTATATGCCAGACACTCTTCGAGGTTCTGGAGATTCATCTGTAAAACAACAAAATCCCTTTCTTCGTGGAGCTCATATTCTGAGGTGGAAGCCAATAAAGTAAAATATAGAGTATGTTAGGTGGTAGTAAGTGCCAAGGAGACAATTTAAGGGACAAAGGACAGGAAGTGTTGGAAAAGGTTTTGAATTTTAAATTGGGTGACCAGAGGTTTCCCTAATGACCTGAGGGAAATTAGGTGTATTAGTTCCCTAATCCTGCTGTAACAAATTAGTATAAATTTAGTGGCTTAAAACAATACAAAAGTAGTATCTTACAGTTCTGGAGGTCAGAAGTCCAAAATGGGTCTTACTGGGCTAAAATCAAGGCGTGGGTAGGTATGTGTTCCTTCTGGAGACACTAAGAGAGAACCCATTTCCTTGCCTTTTCCAGGTTCTAGAGGCTGTCTACATTCCTCAGCTCATAGCCATCTCTCCAACTGCTTCTTTAACTGACTCTCCTGCTTCCCTCTTTCCCTTAGAAGGACTCGTGATTAGGCCCACCAGGATAACTTAATCACATCTACAAAGTCTCTTTTTTCATGTAAGGTACCATATTCACAGGTTCTGGGGATTTGGATGTGGACATCTTTAGGGGGCCATTATTCTGCCTACCACATGAGGCATAGTATCTAGAAGTGGCAACAGCAAGTTCTAAGGCCCTGAGGCAGGGTTGCCTGGCATGTTTGAGGACAATGGAGGCCAGTGAGGATGCAGGAGAGTGGGTGAGGGGAAGAGTGGGAAAGATGAGGTTGGGGAGGTGAAGGAGGTGCAGCAGCTCTTGAAGGCCCCTGAGGGTCCCAGTGAAGACTTTGGCCTTTACCTGAGATGGGAGTAGGTAAGGGACATGATCTCACAGGTTTTAACAGGATCCCTCTGGCTGCTGTGTTGAGTGAGAACAGACTAGGAGGGCAGGGGTGGAAGCAGAAGACCCATGAGGAGGCTGCTGCAACATCCAGGTGAGATGATGGTGGCTGGAGCAGTAGCAGAGACAGTAAAGTGGCGAGAAGGGGTCTCATTCTGAATTCTGAAGGCTGAGTCACAAGCAGTTATTTAAGGGTCAGATATGGAGTGTCACAGGGAGAGGGGAGCCAAGGATGCCTCCAAGGTTTTTGGCCTGAGCAACTGGAAGAATTATAACGCTCTTTAAGATCGGGAAAATCACAAGAACAGCAGGCTTGGGAATGATGGTGTAAGATCAGGAATTTGGTTTGAGATATCTGTTGGATATCTAAGCAGACATAACCAGTAGGCAGTCAAGATATAGGAGTCTGGAGTTTAGGAGAGGTGTCTGAAGAGATCTGTTTGGGAGGCATTTGCATAGAGGTGGCATTTAAAGCCACAAGACTGTATGGGATTGTGTAGTGAGTGTGTGTAGAGACAAGAGGACTAAGGACTGAAACCTGGGGCCCTCTGAGGAAGAGTGATAGAGGAGGAAAACCAGGCAAGGATGAGGTCCTGGAAGCCAAGACAGCCATATGCAACAAACTATGTGGAATGAGGGCCTGGTGGAGCAGCAAAAATTGCCCCTGACTCTCCTAGTGCTGTTCTCTGGCAAACAGCCTTTCACGGGACAATTTAAGGGAGTCAGGTCTACTTCTGTGAGCCACAGGCTGCCTTCCCTCCAGGAAGCTGAACAAGTCTGCTCCAGAGGTCTGGTCCCCACTCCCCCAGTATAATTTCCCACTGGTCTCAACTCCCACAGGGCCTTTAAGACTCAGCTCAGACACCTCCCCTCTGCCCCCGACCCCCCAAGGCTGTGCTGGTGGCTGCACTGATCCCCAAGACTGAGCTGCCCATCTGCTCAGCTCCCACAGCACCCACTGCTCACTCTTGCTGAAGAACTCCCCACACCAAACCTGTTTACATGTCTCCCAGTAGGCTAGGTGCACTGTAGGTTTCTAGGTAGGTTCCTGACGTCTGCATCCCCAGTGCCTAGCATGATGCCCACCATCTAAGAGACTCAGTAAACGTTTGTGGACAGAAGTACTCAGCAGAAGCCCCTCCTCCTGCTGGTGTCTAGCCAAGACTGCCACTTGGTTATGCACAAGCTCCAGTCCCCAGACTTCCTCTCCTGAAACCTAAAGTGCTGGCAGATCTTTCAAAGCCCCTCTGCAGCATGGCGGGGCCCCTCCCATCACTGCACCTGCTGACACTACACCAGCCGCTGTCAGGTCGGCTCCGACTCACGGCAACCCCACGTGTGTCACAGCAGAACTGTGCTCCACGGGGTTCTCAATGGTTGATTTATCAGAAGCAAACCGCCAGATATTTCTTCCAAGGCACCTCTGAGTAGACTCAAACTTCCAACCTTTCGGTTAGCAGCCAAGCACATTAATTGTTTGCACTACCCAGGGACTCCACAGATACTCACTAGAAATGTGTTAAATACCAAAGGAAGGCCGTGGATTGGGTCCAAGTCCCAATTCGGGCACTCTCAAGTAGTCTGGACTTCAGTTTCCCATCCATAAAATGGAGATGATCCATGCTGATCACCTAAGTGCGTCCTCATCAGCTCTGACAACTGGGAAAGCATTTGGCAAACTATAAATGAGCTGGACAAGTCTGAGTTACCATGGGTCGGGCTTTTCCTCAGCAGCTGATTCAGGGCACATGACTGGATCTGGATGACCCATCCCAGGCCACATGAGGCCTTCCACTGTGTTGCCCTTGGTTTTCCTTAAGCCACTTCGAGAACGTGCAGTGTTTTCCTCAGGCAACAGGAACCTGCGGAATGAGTGGAGCCTGGACCCAGTGGAAACTCTAACATATGCATGGAGGCTCACAATGTTTCCAGTGACTAAGGGCCACACACGTCTTGATCTGAAAACTTGTCCCAGAGCGACTCACCTGCTCTGGCCATCCTTGCCCCCAGGGCCCCACCCTCAGAACAGGGACCCTGGCTTCCCTTCTCCCTCACCAGCAGACAACACAGAGGCAGGGTCAGCATGCAGTGCAGTTTATTGATGTCTACCTCCCCAAATAACTTTTTCTCACTGGTCAGGGCATACAAGAACTGAGTGGGAGGGTGATTATTGTACAGGTGGAAGTCAAAAGGCACACCCTGAATGTGCTATAATGGGTTGAAAAGAGGTTGGTCTGAGATTGACAAGTCCCTCATTTCAAAGGCTCAGAAAGTATGCGCCCAAGAAGCATACATTCATTCAGAAAATCTCTTCCACCTGGTGGAGGAGAACCAGGAGTCGCTCTGGCCCAGGTCTTCTGCTGGCACTCACGCCAGGCATCTTTCAGACCTGCTGCTGCAGCAAGCAGGATCACTGGCACTGCAGCAGCCACGTATCTTGACCTAAGCAAACAGGTGAGGCCTGGCTACATCTACACAGCCAAGACAAAGCTGGCGACTCACAGGAGAGATGTGGTGTACATATAATGGGTGAGGACGGTGCTTGTCAGTGGTAGTGGCTCCCGAAATGTAGTGTAAATCCACAAGGGTGGTGACTAAAGGATGGATACAATGATTAATAAAATCTGACTCTAAGCTGACCTGGCTTCTGAACAAACCTCCTAATAGTCTTTGTTCACAAAGAGTTTTACAGTCTCCTTCAACCCTGCTGGCAAAGTTGTTAAGTGCTCAGCTGCTAATCAAAAGGTTGGCAGTTCAAATCCACCAGCTGCTCCTTGGAAACCCTATGGGGCAGCTCTACTCTGTCCTATAGGGTCACTGTGAGTCAGAATGGACTCAACAGCAAGGGGCTTGGTTTTTTTTTGTTGTTGTTGTTGTTTTCACTCCAAACTGTCACAGAAGCAGAAGGAAGAGGAAGGGCTGGTCTGCCCAGCTAGACCTGGGCAACTCTCTGTGGTCACAGGGTGTTTCCAGCCCCCTCAAACCCTGAGTCTGGGGTGGAGAGTGGGAAGAGGATGTTGATTCCAGGAGGGCTGCTCCGCCAGGCCATGGCCCACCCACCCAGCTCCACAGGGATCCTCTTCTACCGCTTCTTCTTGGTCTCCTTCTTGGGCCTCTTGCTTGCAGAAGGAGCAGTAGCCTTGGACTTCCTCGTCCCCTCAGCACTTCTGGGCTCAGATGGCTCTGCCTCCTGCATGGTGATAAAAGGAAGAGTCCCACTTAGATGAATCAAGTCTGACATCAGCTAAATGACATCACATCTGAAGGGACTTTGCAAACTGAAGCAAGCCACAGAAACACAATGGACGGAAACCATTATTATTGGGACCCAGGATCCACATGTATGTGGGACTGCCCCCAGGAAGCAAGGCAGATCTCAGTAAAGCATAAAGGAGGCCTGACAGGGAGGAGGAGGAGTCTCTCAGGCCTGAGCGGAATCTAGGCTCTTCTACTTCCCAGCACAGTAACCTTGTGGGCAACTCATTTCTGTGTCTTGTTTACTCACCTGTGCAATGGACAGAGCCACACACACCTGGGAGGGTTGATGTCAGGAGGCACAAATGCATGAAAGGCACCAGTAAATGGCAGTTGCACCCCGTGGCGGTACAGGCACCTTGTGGCAGGGACCTGGCAGAATTTGGGTAAGAAGAGGCTGTTGGATGGCTCCACTGCGGCCTGCTTCCTTTTAGCTCTGCCATTCTCCTCCTGCCAGTCAGCCCACAGAATCCCAGAGCTGGGAGGTAACGGTGAGCAACCAGCTGGCAGGTGGGCAGTCACTGCACTGTGTTCTGGGGAACCTGGCAGAGGTGCCCCTGGGGGAGGGGGCAGAGGGCAGACTCAGGGCAGGACTTCAGACTCTCTTTTCAACAGGAGCAGTTCTTTTTGTACACTGAGATTTGTTCCTTGTCAGATTTGGTTTAAACAAAGGTTCTGCTGCTAACAACAGTTCAAAACCACAGATCCAGACCTGGCCCTTATTCTGCTGATAAAGAAAGTGGACTCCACGGTTGCCGGCCACTCAGGCTCATGTCAGAGAAGAGTTTGGAACAAACTCAGCCTGCTCCTGCCTAGTGCTTCTTCCTCGTCTGGTGATAACTCAGTGTGCTGCGGCCAGGAAGGGTGAAGAAGACTGGTCTAGCCCAGAGAACACGCATCTGGCCCACAGGTGGACTTTATTTGGCCCACAGTGTTTATCTTTTAAAAGTTCAGCCTTCTGGGAGTGTTCCCATTACATCTGGATTCCCAGCTTCTCTTGAAAACTTTAAACATCCGGTGACACTAGCCCCTCATTCCCTCGTGGCAGCAATTGGCTGAGCAGCAGCTGCCCCTGAAAAAAGTCAGGTGCCTATTCCCCCGGCCACAACCTCCACCATTCCACTGCCCCCGACACTAGGGTAGGGAAATGTTCCCCAGTACTCTATGTCTTTAGAAGCCCTGGTGGCACAATAGTTAAGCATTCAGCTGCTAATCAAAAAGTTGGTGGTTTGAACTGACTCAGCAGCTCTGCAGGAGAAAGACCTGGCAATCTGCTTCTGTAAAGATTACAGCCAAGAAAACCCTACAGGGCAGTTCTACTCTGTCACATGGGGTCACTGTGAGTCAGAATCGACTTGATGGCACCCAGTAACACCTGTGTCTTTATTAAAACTGGGAAAACGAAATGCAGACTAGGAATACTGGGAGGGAGCATGCTACTTCTGGAAGAGAAAAATATTCCTCCACATCTAATTTGCCGACCCCAGCTTCCAGCATGATCTACTTTCTAAACTTCCCTGCTCACCCTGTGAGCCCCTGTCTAAGCCTCTGCTGTACAGAAGCGGGACCACAGTGGGAGAGGGGTGGTCCCCGCCCAACATCCAGTGTGGAGGACTGTCATCTCCCTCTTATCAGCCATCTCTGTCTCCTCTCCACTCTGCCCACCAGCCAGATGAGATAGCAGATGCAGATGTGAAGGCCCAGCACAGTTCCAGGCACCCATGGAGTCATCTTACGAAAATAACAAGAGGGCCCCCTACCCTACCCTGCCCAGGTCCCTGATCAGAGTTCTGGACTGCCCCACCTCCACCTGCTGCACCTTCTCCCACCAAAAGACATAATGACGTTGAGGGCTCCCCTGCACTGATACTGTTTATATAACTTGGGGAAAAGAATGGTTAGCCTAAAACAAACAAACAAAACCAAACGTCAGAGGAGCCCCTTTGCCAGCCGCACACACTAATTCCTGCCGCGTCCATTGGAAAGGCTAATGTTGAAGGCAAACCCAACAAGACACAATGCGTGTGGCGATCCTGGGAGCTTGAAACCAGCCCTACCATAGTACCTCTACAGAAAGCAGTCTCCGCGAGCACCCTCAGGCAAACAGGCCCTGAGCAGACCCAGTGACTTCTGCACAGGGAACTTGCCAGGGCCTCCATGGATCTCCAGGAAATGGAGCCCACCTTCTGAGCTCAAAGCGGGGTGCCTCCTCTGGTTTAAATGGTGCCCAGTTCAGAATCCAGAGATGGTGACACCCAGCTTCTGTCCCCAGTGCTTTCCTCACTCCACACACCCTCTCTCAGGCACCTCATCATGTCCTGCACCTCCAGAACAGACCTCTCCCTGAGCTCCAGCCACACAGATCCAGCTGTCTATCAGGGGACTGGGACTGGAGATCCCTCCTCCCATCTAGCCCCTCCCAACCACAGGCACAGCAACCAGAGTCCCAGAGATGCCCCCAGCCCACTTCATCCTATCAGTTACCAAGTCCAGTTGATTTGACTTCCTCTTGAAGAAGGAGTCCTGGAGGCGCAATGGTTAAGTGCTCGGCTCAGTTGCCAATTAAAAGGTAGGCGGTTCAAACCCATGAGTCTCTCTAAGAGAAAAAAGACCTGAGGATATGCTCCCATAAAGATTACAGCCTAGGAAACCCTATGGAGCAGTTGTACTCTGTCCTATGTTTGCTAGGAGTAAGGGCACACAACAATAACCCCTTGAAGGAATCCTGGTGGCGCTTGAGGTTAAGCGCTCAATGGCTAACCAAAAGGTTGGCAGTTCGAATCTGGTGATCTGCTTCAGTAAAGATTACAGCCAAGAAAACCCTCGACAATACCTAAATAACAACCTCTTGACGCTGTCACTAGCAGCGAAGTCCCTACGTCAGTTCTGCTCCTGCTAACCGTCCTCCCTGCTCTCTATCTGTCATGGATTGAATTATTTCCCCCAAAAAATGTGTGTAGCAACTTGGCTAGATCATGATTCCTAGTATTGTATGATTGTGTTATCTGATGTGATGTCCTTATGTGTTGTAAACTCTACCACTATGATGAGATTATGTGTGATCTCCTCATGTGTTGTAAATTCTATCA